CTCTTTCTCTCTCTCATTCTTTTCTCTACTCTTTGTCTTTGTGTACATGTATAGATTCCAAGGTCTGTCTGGGTTGTGTTAGAGAGGGATCTTGTGGATTCTTGTAAAGCTGGAGATGATGTTATTGTTACTGGTATTGTCAGACAGCAGTGGAAATCTCTTAAGTTAGAGTGGCTTTAATTTCAAATGAATTTGCAACGCATTTCATGCTATTTTACCTGTAGCTCTGGTAGTACGTGTTTGTTGGAAGTGGTTATACATGCAAATCACATTGTACTCAAGACATCTAGTCAAGAGAAGAATGACATCACTGATGAAATGGTATTGTTTCATTCTTATATTTTATTGTATTATAAAAATTCTTTTTAATTTTTAGAAGTCGTTTTTTGATGCCTTTTGGTGTAGTTATAAGGACAATCCATTGGAAGGTCGTAACGTAATTATTGCTAGTTTCTGTCCTCAAGTATTTGGACTATATGTAGTTAAGCTTTGTATATGCTTAGCTCTCGTTAGAGGGGTCCAGGTCAGTTTAATATTCATACCTTAGTTTTGCTATTTACATGTACATAATATTTCTATCCTTATTTTAATTATTTTGCTCATTTTGAATTTTGTATACATAAAAAATTACTGTGATACTTAATAATACCAATACACATGTGTACCACAAAGCCTTAATTGTTGAGTGCTTATAAACTTGTTACATTTACAATGTACATGTAAGTACTGTCACTGCCTGTATTTTATGAAGTCTTTATTATAATCTAGCATTCATACTATACTAGTATCAGTTGCTGTAAGAACAAGGATTGCTCAAGATGACTTGATGTCAAGATACAGATGATGTTATTTCCACTCTCAAAAGAATCCCAGCTATTAATAATACCAGAACACATTATACACACTATCATGCATGTGGTACTGTTTGTACTGATTTCAATCAATTTGTTCTTCCTCAAATATACATGTATATACATGTATATACATGTAAACACCAGCTTTTGTGACTGAAATACTTGATTTTAATTTTGCAATTTTTATTTTTATTTCCAAAGTTAAAGATAATGTAAAATACAGTACATGACAAGTATTAAAAATTTGGCCCAATGCAATAGTGCTTTGTATTGCAATAATTATAGTTTATAATAGTTTTGTAGAAGAAAATGATGTTCACACTTCATCATGTAATGTCTTTAAAGTTCTGAGTGTGCTCTGCTCTTTCTCATATCTAATATGAGTAAAAGTATGAATACAGTATGAATCACTTACTTTCAGCTACTGTCTTTTGGTCAATGT